TCGGTATTCATCCGTCCCAAAATGAAGTAGCAATGCCCCGATTTCTCTGCTTACGGGGTATTCCATCTGCCCCAAAATGAACTTACATACACCTATTCCTAAAATGTATGTAAAAGTGGAGGTAAAAAAAATGCAAGAGCTACTCCTAACCAGAAATGGTTTCTTAAAGAAAAATGTTTCGTTTCTCTATTTTCGTTACTTATTTGACAAACTATTCCCAACCACGTCGGATTTTCGTTTCTCTGATTGAAATGTTTTGTTTCAAAAGAAAAATATCTTGTATCCATAAGAGAAAGAAAGTAAATAAAGTTTAATCTTACAAATAATAAATAGACAATTAAATTTGGGATAGAAAGAACAGTTCACAATATGATAAAATAAAATTATTTTATATGTTTTTATTAATTATTTGATATAAAATAAAATATTCTTGATACCTCTCATTTTGAAGAATTTTTTATCTAGTTTTTAAATGTGTAAATTTTATTTTTTATTTCTATACTAATATTTAAATAAAATGATTTGAAGAAGTTGATATTTTACCTCATTTTTTGAGATGTGCTAAATATTTAGGGATGGAGGGAGTATAAGTTTTAAATCGAAATTGAGTGTATAAAGATAGTAACAGATTTAGTGCGGTAGTACTTAGGTTGTTCATCAATTCAAAAATAGATTATATTAAATCAAACCAAAGATTGAATTGGGCAAACATAGACTAAAGATCGGATTTAAATTTATTTGAATTTGGATTTGGATAGAACCGTATCGAAATACTTAAGACTTGGACATCAACTTCATCAGATCTAAGTGCTCAAAAAGTTGTTTAATTCCACAAACAACTTGATAGATTATATCGAATTGCGTAGAATGCTTGCAACTCAATTATTTTAGGGTATATCAAAATATTTTGATTGGATAAGATGTTAATTTAAGAACAAGCACTCGAAATTGATACTTTAACCATAGCTGTGTATCTATATTATAGAAACGGAAAAAACATGAGCAAAAATGTATGTTTGTGTAAAGAAGCATTCGCACGAAGAGCTGTTTGTGGTTTTTGGGCCAATTTTGGATGTACATTCATACGTTTGATTTTTAAATAATTTGGATTATGTTTACAAAAATTTGAATGATTTTAATAAAGCACTAGGAATTGACACCCCAACTTCCCCTTGGACCCCGCTATTAGGGGCTGCGGCCTATTGTCCCCTACTATGACTTTGTAATATCACTAAATGAACGTGCACTTCGCATTTTCGAACTCGTTTGATAATGTCTATTCAAATTCTTGTCTCATCTCAGTAAACTCAATCATATAAAATAACCGATGGCACTAATATCACCGACATTTGTCTTCTATTTTAGTACTCCCTCCGTCTGGAAATATTCTTCTTATTTGACTTTTCACGATCTCCAATATTGTGCTTTGACCATAAATATCTATATATACATAGATATATTTTATAGAAACTTGATATTTGAAAACTACGTTTCATTATGAATATATTGATATTAAATTTAAATCATAATACAATGTGTTTTTTCACAAATCTTAATCAAAGTTTACAAACTTTGACCAAGAAAAGTCAAATGTGAAGAACATATCCGGACAGAGGGAGTGTAATTCATGATTCACTTATGTAGTAGATTAAATAAATTTATGCATAAATAAAAATGTCACGACAATGGAATTTTCTTCTTAGTACATTACACATTGTAAATATTTGAATTTCAAGGTGTCACTAAGTTATTCGGGTATACTAGTGTGTTCCAATCTCAGAATGTTAAGCTTTCCACATTTAATTCATCATATAAGGTCATATAAGGTGTGAGTTGGGGATCTTTACATGAGAGACATTATACAGACTTAAATCCCATTCATTTAGGCGAAGTTTACATAAGATCTCTTCTTTACCATTTGATTAAACGATCTACTAAATTGTGCTGAGTTCTTACGAACGCCACTGATATTCCACCATGCCATTTCAAGTTGCGTACCATGGCATGTCTAAGACCTAAGTGTTTAGACTAGGGGTGTGCACAATTTGGTAAATTGATCGAACCATACCGAAATCAAAATTTTGACGTACCGAAACTGAACCAAACAATTTGGTTTGATATTCAGGTTTTCCTTTGTCTAAAAATCAATTTTTGATTCGCTTTCATTTACTAACTCCGTAATTCAGTTTTTACCGAATACTAAATTATTACTCCATATTATTATTTTAAATATTTTGAAGTTTAAATTCCAACCTTGCGTCCGAGCCAATCATATAGGGGAATCTCACCTTTCATTTATTTTTGAAATATAAGCATTTTCTAAAATTCAGTTAAGTAAGCGTTAGCGTCCTAACGGCAACCCAAAACTCGCAAACATGAGAAGATGTGAGATTATTTTCTGTGACAATGAAAAGTAAAATTATTTTGGAAGAGCACGAAAAGGTGAGATTATTTGAGATACTTTCGCCTTTTTTGATGCATTGTTTATTTACATCAATCTTATTTGTTTAAGAAATCACCTTAAATAGGAGTAAATTTAGAAAAATTATTGAAATAGAAGTTACATGTTCTTATTCCATTAATTGCAGTTCGTACGATAGTAATGTGACACAATATATGGACATTTTACTATACTTTTTGGTAATGTATACAATCGTAATTGGTAATGTACATGCATTTTAATTCTTACTTTAGAAATAAAAATATGGAATTTCTATTTTGATATATTTTCAATATTTAACTCCTATTTTAATCTTTTTTCCTATTCGTTTGTGTTAATTATCAAAACAAAAAAATTAAACTCCATTCGATCGTAAAAACCTTTTTTCTCACATTTTTTCTCAAATACTAACATGCATGCCATTCCGAGACCTATAACAAAAAATTAAGGGTATGTTTGGATTGAGGGAGGTGGAGGTAAGGTAAGGTTACATTAAATATTTAGCTTGTTTCTGGAAAATATTAGACGGTGGTCACTGGTCACTTTGTCATTATTTATATTGAGATCAATATTGAGAAGGCGTATGATAGGGTGCCAAGGGAGGTCTTATGGAGGTGCCTTGAGGCGAGAGGAGTTCCCATCGTGTACACTCGCGCGATCAAGGATATGTACGATGGGGCTATGACCAAGGTAAGGACTTCCGGGGGCGTCTCAGATTCCTTCTCAGTAGGGATGGGGTTACACCAAGGGTCTGCTCTTAGCCCTTTTTTGTTCGCCTTGGTGATGGACGTCCTAACTCAAGGGGTTCAAGACGGGGTCCCATGGTGCATGCTTTTCGCGGATGATATTGTGCTTATCGACGACACGCGTGAGGGACTAAACGATAAATTGGAATTATGGCGCCTTTCCCTTGAGACTAAAGGATTCAGAATAAGTAGGAACAAGACTGGATACATGGAATGTCGTTTCAGCGGCCGGGATACAGAATCAGAGGTGGAAGTCAAGATTGACTCTCACCTAGTACCTAAGGTAGACAGGTTTCGTTATCTTGGCTCGGTAATTCAGGCGGATGGGGAGTTAGATGCGGATGTTGGACATCTGGTTAGAGTGGCTTGGGCCAAATGGCGGTTAGCTTCAGGGGTGTTGTGTGATCCGAAGATTTCGCCTAGAATGAAAGGTAAGTTCTATCGATCCGGAGTCAGACCTGCTATGTTATATGGGGCAGAGTGTTGGGCGGTTAAGAAGACTCATGTGCGTCGTCTGCATGCGGCGGAGATGCGGATGTTATGATGGATGTGCGGGAAGACAAGGTTGGATAGGATTTCGAATGAGGTTATCCGACGTCAAGTAGGTATGGCACCGGTGGAAGACAAGTTGCGGGAAGCGAGGTTGAGGTAGCTTGGCCATGTGAGACGGCGGGATGCTGACGCCCCTGTACGGAGATGCGAGAGGATTACGGTTATCGGGGGAAGTAGGGGAAGGGGTAGACCTAAGAAGAATTGGGAGGAGGTGATAAGACAGGATTTAGGACTTCTCGACCTGACTGAAGATATGGCCCTAGATAGGAACCTTTGGAGAACTAGGATTAGAGTAGCTGGATAGGAGCTCGGTGTTGTAGAGGTTGTTTTGTAGTGTGTTGTATTTGTTGGAAATCTTTTGCTATTGTTTGTACTTGTTGCTTGTACTTGGTGCCTTATCTGTGCTATACTGTGTTCTCTTCCATATTTTTGTGCAGGTGGAGCCGGGGGTCTCTTGGAAACAGCCTCCCTACTTCCGAGTAGGGGCAAGGTCTGCGTACACACACCCTCCCCAGACCCTACTGTTGTGGGATTCAACTGGGTTGTTGTTGTTGTATAAAAAAACTATGGAGCAATGAAGTACAAAACAAACACAAGGGTATTGAAGTAATTTTATTGTTTTACTTACATTACATTACCTAATAAATGTCCAAACACAAATTTTCAACTTGTATTATCTTACTTTACCCGGGGCGGATCTAACCTTTGGAATATGGGGGCAGCAGCCCCCAGTCAATTTTTTTTAAATATATATGTATATGTTTAAATTTTATACTCCGTATATAATTGCCTCCAATAAAAAAATTTGCCACCAGTTCATTAATTAGCCCAAACCAATTAATTACCTAAAGTCTAAAGACCCAATTCAAAAAGTAGCCCAATTGTCCAAATTACCAAAAATAAAATTTACTCCCCTTAAAATTATTCCCCAAATTTACAGCTTTCCCCTTCGCTTTAGAGTTGGTATATGGTACATCCGGATGTACTTAGAAATAGGTACATCCGGGTAGTACTCATTCTGAAATAAAGTAGTACTCATTCTCGTACAAATATAGACATTCATTTTGAAGTACATAGTACTCATTCTGGCAAAGGTAGTACTCATTTTAAAATAAAGAAGTACGGAGTACTTATTTTTACTCATTTGTCTAATATAATTATAATAAATAGCGTAGTGTTCATTTTTAAAAAAACAATACTCATTCTCAAATAAGGAAATATTCATTCTAAAATAAAGTATTGTTCAATTTTTTCACAATTAAAAAGTTCAGTACCATCATCAACTTCTTCCTCTATTCGATTCGTTCCTACTTATTTATACTCTCTGAGCATGGAGAATTTAAAATCCAAGTTTATTCATGTTTGTATTGAATAAGAATATGATAATTCTCATAAGTGTTGGTACTCCTTCTCAAATCTGCAGGTGTCATATATAATAGTTCTCATATATGTTCTGGACATTGGATAAAAAATTAAAAAGTTTGCAAAATTTACAAAAATACCGGGGAATTGCGGAAGTGCCGAACAAATCCGAACAGAAGCACCGGCTGCAGCGCCGTCGGCCGTCAGCCCGTTGCCGCCAGTCCACCACAGCTTCGAATCCTTCGATCTACTATCGCATAATCATAATATTGCACAAGCACTAATTCCAGGTATTTCCAAATAATTTTTTTCCTTTTTAGGTTATGATCTAAATAATTAAATAAATCTGAAAATTAGGTGTAATGTGTGAAATTTTTTGGATAGTTTGTTTTTATCTTTCAATTTTCTATATATTATTAATTATAATTTATAATTATCCCAAAACATATGAATTGATGACTCTAGTCTCTAAAAAGATATTAATTCTCAATTGATATACTTGAATAATTTGTTCTAATTTTTGGACATAGATTTAGTAAAAAAGTATATTTCATTTTATATTTTAGATAATGGAGAAATTTTTTAAATGGAAGTCCTCCTCAACAAGTGTTTCTGGACCATCTCTACCTTCACTAGCTAAAGAAATAGATTTAAGTGATCTTCGGTGAGATCCTTCAGAAAGAAAGAAAATTTTAGAGTATCACCCTAATCAAAACCCTAATCAAAGAGATAAAATAGAAAAAAATTTGATTAGAGGACCATGTCAACCACGTGGCCATGATTTTCAACGCAGAACGATTGGGAATAGTCCAAGATGAAAATTGAAAATGAAGATATAACTGATCGCTTTCAAAAGATGAAAACTCGAAGAGAACAATTGTAAGAGATATGTTCTATCTATTTAATTGTACCTTGTTTTTAATTTAATTTTAATGGTTAGAAATATGTTCTATCTATTGAATTGTCTCTTGTTTTTAAATTTTATTTTTTTCACTTTAATTACTTAATGCCCCCGTGAAAGAATTTCCTGGATCCGCCACTGACGTTACCCATCATTACCTACCATTATCTACCTTATAAAATGTTACCTCCCTCAATCCAAACACACCCTAATTTTAGTAGACCACTTCCTCCATTACTAAAAACATGAGAGATTGTAATTTTTAAGGAATTTAAGAAACGTATGTTTTAATGTTGAGTTTCTAAAAATATCTTTGGATGTGATGGGTAAATATAGCATGTGATAGATAGATGAATATTAAATAGATGTGATAACTAGTTTAAGAATTAATAAAAGTAAAAGTGATTTTTTAATAAAAATAATAAGAGTTTTTTGAGACCCATGACAGCATTATTTTTACTTTTGGATATAGAAATAATAGAATTGCATTCGGAATTTCTCCAAACCGGATCCCGAGGTTCAACCATGGCTACGGCGCTGGTGTCTATAGCTCGCGGACCCATGAGGATGAGGAAGCTCTTTCCATTCATTTACCGTCGTCCGGCGTCTACTATCCCCTCTCATTCTACCAGTTTCGGTTAGTATAATCATAGCAATTTCTATTATAATCCGGTCACATTAGGACACATTGATGATAAAATTATCGTTGTTTCCTTGAATTGCGCTATGTACAGTGCGTTTGCAAAAGCGAAGAGCATTTACTTTGACGATTGTGGATTCAGGGTTTAAGGAGGTGCCTGAAGAAGAAAAGAGCAAGTTCGTTGGAAATGTGTTCACCAGTGTTGCTTCGAACTACGATCTCATGAACGATTTGATGAGTGGGGGGCTGCACAGGCTATGGAAGGACCAGTTAGGTCACTGATCTCTCTCGCTCAAGAATCTTGTATTCTGGAACTTTTAAGTTTGCGGAGATTGATTTTTTTAAAGTTCGTTTCTGTCAGGTTTGTGTCCAAATTGAACCCTTTTCCTGGAATGAAGCATCTTGATGTTGCTGGTGGCACAGGTGAGTGTATGATGATTATGCAATTTTTGTTGGTTGAAACTTTGGTAGAAGCTTCATACTATTCTTTGCCTGCAAGCATTAGCACCCTTGGCTATCGAGATTGTGCTCCCTAAAACGGTAGTATTGTAGGTGACACATTGACCAAACAGTTAGAAATATTAAATTTTTTGGTCTCGGTGGTACAAGGTCTTATCAAACATGGATTCCATTGTCACAAAACATTATTCCCTCATGGGTTATATTAATATTTACTCCGTATATGAAGTGTCTGACAACCTTATGCCTCTGTTAAATAGTGTATTATTAGATGCCTGTAGTTTAATGTTTGAAAATCATATTTCAATCAAGATGCTCAAATTGTGGGATTCAACTGAGTGGGTTTGTTGTTGTTGTTGTTGTTGTAATAAAGATGCTCAAAGGTCACAACTATGGTATACCCAAAAAAGATAAAGTTTATAATGATGGGGTTAGGCACTGGTGCCTATATGGCTATATCAAAGATAGGACAAAAATGTTGACTCAATTGTTATAATGATGGGGTTTTAACTAAGTCATTGGTAGTAGGCCGAGATGTAGAATTATGAGGGTAGCACAGTTTCAAAATGTGCTATGCATTACTAACCTTTGATGCATTTGAAATTTCAGAGTTCTGAGTCTTCTGACTTAAATGGTTAGAAAGATGTCTGGGCAATGGTCTGTTTCCTTTATGATCATGAACTAGCAACTACAGCTTGGTATTTAACTTGCTAAGTATTACAGGAGATGTTGCATTCAGGATTCTTGAAAATATCAAATGTTTAAAACGCAGAGCACTACAAGATGTAATTGATGATAAAGTGATGGAAGAAACCCAAATTTTTGTATGCGACATCAACCCTAACATGTTACGTGTTGGTAAGAAGCGGGCTCAGGAAAGAGGTAACGTCCAATACCTTCATTGCTCTTAATTAAAAGAAAAGTTGTCTTATTCTCCAAGTACACCTAATACAAATGTTTTTGTCATTAACCATGTCTCTTGAAGTGCAATGCCGTTTTGAAATATGTAGGTATTGCAAATGACAAATCACTCATTTGGGTTGAGGGAGATGCTGAAGACTTGAAATTTGAAAACAGTTCTATGGACGGTTACACAATTGCCTTTGGGATTAGGAATGTCACACATATAGACAAGGTTCTTTCTGAAGCTTATAGGTATGTTAAAGCCATTCCAAACTAGATGCACAACTGCATTTAAGATTAGGAACTTTACACATTTTGGAAAGGTTAATTTTGAAGTGTATAGCTATTTCTAAAGCACTTCGAATCCAATAATGACAAAGAGGAAAGCCTGTTTTACCACGCGTCTTTTACTTCTATACTTGCATGTTCTATTTGTTCAATAATATGGTGTTATTTGGGCATAGATTTCGTTGTTCAAGTTATAAGTTTTTCATCCAGCGCAATTGACGGGGTTTGTGTGGCTCTCTGGTTTTTTTTCTTAGGGTGCTCAAGCCAGGTGGAAGATTCCTTTGCCTTGAACTAAGCCATGTTGATGTGCCAATTCTTAAAGACCTGTAAGTATTATGACATAAACTTTATGGTAGTGCACTGTATTTCATTGGATATATTGGAGCTTCTATTTGGATGTCTGGTATCATTGTCTTGGAAACTAGTTAGATGTTTTCAGAATTCTAATCCATTTTTCTTCTTTTTGTTCCTGAGAAATTAAGTTGACTTTATTTGCTCCTACTGAAGATAGACTGAACCATTTCTAAATTGGAACTCAAAATGAATGATGCCTCACATTGTCTTAATTTTTTTTAGCATCTGCATCTCTATGGTGCACTTCATTGGTACACTGAGTACACTCTAAGATTTCTTTATAAATCTCCTTCAGGTATGATTTATATTCATTCTCAGTCATTCCAGCAGTTGGTGAGATAGTGACAGGTGATCGTGAGTCTTATCAGTACTTGGTTGAAAGCATTCGCCGTTTTCCTTCACAGGTAATCTTGGGCTTTCAACTTTATATGCTGGGGGGGGGGGATTATGTGCAGTTATAGCGACAATTGGTGTGTTCTGGCCATCTGGTGGCAGCCTGTCAAAATTTAGGAACATCTCTCATTGCCCGGATATAAATGCACTTTTTTCACTCTAAATCATTCTCAAATCATGAAGCCACTGAGCATCATAAACACATAAATGACATAATGTTTGTGATGACATAACAGTAAGGTAAATGCTATTCTGACACGAGAGATGACACTATGGATGACGCCATTGTGTCTCATAGTCAGTCTTCCACAAACAATCATTGGATGTGTGTCTACGAGACACAACAACGTCATCTGTGATGTCATCGTAGCATGACTATAACAATAATGCTAGACAGTACGCTAGAAACTGTGATGTTTAGTAGAACCATTTTTCGCCTGTCAGCCCGATTAGCCAAATTTTATGGCAAACTCCAACTTATTTGTTTCACACTTATTTAACTGGTTGAAAATGAAAAAAATGTACTCTAAGTTACTTTTTGTTTGCTTAAATGACGGAAAGGAGCATAAATTACTCGTCTACCCATATTTTCAAATATTACTTTCTTCACCTTAGCTTAAACAAATACTCCTGTCCCATTTTACATGTCCTAGTTACACATATTTTTTCTTAGCTTGTTTTTCATCACCTTTGAGTATCCCATTTACACATGTCCCAGTTACATATATTTTACAGTATGATTAAATATGTATGTCACTGTTTGGGTATTTGCTGTTATAGAATTCATGGCCCAACTTTTAAATATGCAAGTTTTATTTGATAATCTTAAATTAAATATTACGACGAACAAAACATTGTATTGAAAATAGTTGCCCCATTGGACTAGTACAACACATATTCAACCTCCTCAACCAAATTTACTCTTACCAAACAGGCTATAATTCTTATGGTCTACAACTCATCTTGAGAATATGATACTGGACTGAAGATTTCTGTCTTATTTTTCGTCCACAGGAGAAGTTTGCCGGGATGATTGCAGAAGCAGGGTTTCAAAATGTAGGGTATGAGAATCTTGTGGGAGGAGTCGTTGCAATTCATTCTGGGTTCAAGTTCTGAGAGTAATATTTTTAGAGACTTTTAAATTGTTATTACTGCAGTTTTTCATTTGCTTTTGTCTTTTAAGGACTTTTAGATAAAAAATCATTCAGCCAACTATCATTACTCTGTCTCAAAATAAAATTCATGTTTGCATTTTCACAAAGTTTTAAAAAATAGATAGTCTGTAATTAGGCGACCAAATAGCACCAGTACCTTCCTTGGTTTGGAAAATAGGTACCAATATTCCCAATTTTTAAAACTCATTTTGATGGGTATATCCTTATACCCAGTCCGAAATTCCGAAAGGGACAGGTCAAAAGTTGACCGGTCTCTTTCCTCAATTACAAAATGAGACAAACTCTTCGAAAGTTGACCGGTCACTTTCCTCAAAAAGTGCCGGTCACATTTTGAGCGATAGCCAAAAAATGTCACCAATGTTACGAAGGATGCTACGAAAGACCAAGAGGTAGTCCTGAGCTCAAGAAATCACCTGGTAACCTTTGAGGAAAGGTGACTGGTCATATTATTCTCCTTGGATAACATTCATCCAATCTCCTAAGCATGGCAATCCACATCAAAGATCAAGGGACCACCCCGTTGCTCATCCTTCATAAGGCAAACAGTAGAAAGAATATTTGTCAGGGTTGATTGGTTGAAGATATCCTCTTAAAGTCAATAATTGAACAGTGTGTTTTGGTTGTATTCATGGCAAGTCCATGATTGAATAGTAATTTCATTATGTACAGTGACCTTCCCACGAGTTTTCTATTTTGTTCACGGATGAACAGTGGAAAGGTCATATAACCTCCTCTAAATATATTGGTTATGGATAGAAGAGGGGATCCAATCTTTATCTCACTAAAAGTACACTCTTAAAATAGAGTGAAAAATATAGTTCGGATTGAGGCCAGTTTAGGTCATACTTTGTGTTCTGATTGTGTGTATTTTAGTACGAGTAGAGTCTATGTCCAGATTAGACCCGGTCAACCTACCTGGTTACATTTACACCATCACATTTTAAAAATTTTCGTGGTTTCAAAACGTTACACCCTGATCATTTTCCGGCCACTTTTCAGGCGAAGGAGGCATTGGTGTCTATTTTTCAAACTTTAGGGGGCACATGTACTCATTTCTTATTTTTTGTTTTTTTCCCTTTTTTCTTTAATTAGTTTCTATTATTCATTAAGGTTTTTTAAATTTCTTTTTAATTTTTTTACAAAGTTTCTAAAATTTAAAAATATTTTTGTTAGAAAAAATCATTAAATTATATTGTATCTTAACGTCTCAAATTAATATTTTTTTTGTTTTCCAAAATAATATAAAACAAAAAATAAAAAAGAATATCCTTTTTCCACATCTCAATTCTAAGGATTTTTTAGGTGTTCTTAAAATTTCTTTTTGTATAAGACTCTTTATGCATGTTTCAACTTTTTTCATTTTGTTTTTCCATTTTTTATTTTTCTTTTTTTATTCTGGATTTTCTTTTTGAACTTAACAAAATTATTCTAGAAAACAAAAAAGTGAAATTGTTTAATTTGATGGAGTATATATTATTTTTTTTATTTTTATTTTTATTTCAAACACCAAGAATTTTTAATTTTTTAAAATAATATAAAAATTGAAAAAAATTCAAAACCTTTTTTAAAAAAAGAGAAACAAAGAGATAAAAAGAGTTAAAAAATAAAAAACAAATAATAAACGAAATATAAGAAAAGAGCACGAGTTTCCCCTATGATTTAGAAATTATGCACAAAGGTCCCTCCCCCTCGTTAGAAAATAATCATATGGGTGTAGGTGCAATATTTTGAAACTACGGGAACTTTTGAAATAAGTTTTTTAAACAGATGGGTTATTGGTGCCATTTTTTTCAAATCATAGGGGAGACTAGAGTTATTGGCCGTAGTTACTAGTTAGGCTTTATTTTCTTTTCCTTTCACAAAACAAGAAAAAAGATTTTCATATCATTTTCATTTCTCTTCTCTTACAAATTCCTTGGAGCAAACATAATGCTAGATGAATGGCAACTTTTTTAGGGCAACATGCGAAAGAAAAATGGTTAAGAAAAAGTTAGGACAGAACTACTCTGTTATAGAATGAAAAGATTATATACAGACAGAGGGAGTATTAAATAATTAAAAAATAAAAATTTTTATTCACAATTGGTAAGTTTATGAATTTCGTAATTTTTTTGTTATGACTCAAGCATTTCTCAATCATAATGTTATAATGCACCTCCATGACTTACCCACGTTTAAACACTTAAACTCAACCATAATAATCTCTCTATTTCCATCTCTTTTTCTTCTTCCCCCCTCTAACACACACACTGTCCCTGGCTAGCTACTTCTTCTATAAATAATCACTCATTTACCGTTTTATATTTTGTTTATGATGGCAATGACCTCCTTGCACAAATGCATCTTCCAGGCACACGTTGTCTATTTCGCTAGAATATGATGTGTGTAAACCTCTCATGCACATACATTGTTTGATTTCCTTGAGACGTTATGTTTTTAATTAACACCTCGAACACACGCAACACATGCAACGTCAGGATATGATGTCTTTCACACACACACATTAAGTTTGTGTGAACTCTTCTTAGAAACACGATTGTAAATCCCTTTGGCAATGTTTATACATACATACATACATACACACACACACACAAATTGGGTGATAAGTCACATATGTCTATATGACACAAACAGGAACGGTGTTTGTGTGACTGTGAAACTTGCACATGTAGGTATCGTCCATATAGATAACAGATGTTAAAATTATAATGCCAATGATCGAAGGTAAAGTTGTGGTAGCCGATGATGGATTGGAGTGGCTGTTGAGCGATGTGTGAAAAATGAATGTTATGAACGGTCTAAAAAAGCTTCTAAGTCTGTATTCACATGAGCAAATAGTATACTATTGTCTTTATTTGTCTATTTTCATTACATATTTGATAAATAATATACTTTGTGGTTATATAAACTCTTGTTTATCTCATAGAACTTTTAGTATGAATTTCTTTTTAATTGTACACTTATTATTTAGATTAAATATACAAATTCTCTCAAACATCACAAATTGTTACATACTCCATAAAGTTTTTTGAAGGACAAAGTTTAGTTGATCTATATAAAGAATAATGCAGGAGTCACAAACACCTTGCTTACAAATTACACAAACTTTTCATTTGTGTATATAAATTTTTATATTGCACTTCGTAATTTTTAAAAATATTTTATTCACATGAGCAAATATTATACTGTCGTCTTTATTTGTCTATTTTCATTACATATTTGATAAAATAATATAGTTTGTGGTTATATAGGGAGTGTTTGTATGTGCTGGTACGGTGCTTATTGGCTTATTGCTGATAATCAGTTTTTGACTTCTATGCTTTTTATAAGTCAAAAATTCTTTCGTGGAAATATGATGACTTAAATGATAGATTAGTCATTTGTAAATGTTCATAATGGTGAGGAAGAGTTTTGTAATTAATATGGTCAAAATGAAGAAACGAAAAAACTGACTTAAAATAGGTAGCTAAAACTTAATTATTTATTCTGACAGCTTATAAGCACACAGAAACATGTCATTAGATGATTTATAAGTTAAAATTATTTATACGCAGTTTTGATCAGCTTATAAGCACAGAGAAACGCACACATAAATTCTTGTTTATCTTGCAGAACTTTTAGTATTTTTTAAATATGAATTTCTTTTTAATTGTTCACTTATTATTTAGATTAAATATACAAGAATTTCAAACATCGCAAATTGTTACGCTCTCCATAAAGTTTTTTGAAGGGCAAAGTTTGGCTATCTATATAAAGAATAATGCATAATGCAGGAGTTACAAACACCTTGCATACAAACTACATAAACGTATCAGTTGTGTATATAAATTTTTATATTGTACTCCATAAGTTTTAAAAATATTTTATTCGCAAGAAATCACTCTAAAAAGGAGTAAAACATAGAGAAAGTATCAAAAATAAAAGCTCCATGTTTGTATCCTCGAAATAGAAGTTTGCATTGTGGTAATGTAACACTGTATATGGACATTTCATCATACTTTTTGGTAATGTATATGGTCATGATTGACACAAAGTATATTTAACTCCTATTTGAGGAACAAAAATATGGAACTCCTATTTTGATAAATTTTCCGTATTTTACTCCTACTTTAGTCTTTTTCCCTTTATTTACTTGATAAGGTGCACAAATGGAAATATGTGTAGTTTGTGACCAAAATATTTGTGACTTTCGCATTTCTAGGCAACAAAATGGGTTAATTAGGACATGTTTAGTAAGATAGCTTGATGGATTGTTTAGAGTATTTTTATTATTTTAAGGAAAAATTACCCAAAATAATCCCAAGTTTACCCGGTCTTTCAAAAATAATCCCACCTTTCACTGTGATGCATAATAATCCCAACTTTATTGAAATTTGCCAGTTTTGGATCGCCGTTAAGTTTCTAACGGAGGGTTAACGGAAATGCCTGTTGTAGGCAAAAAAAATGAAAGTTGGGATTATTTTTGATGAATTTTTGTTTTTTAATTTTTTTTGAAATTTTTATTTAAATTTTTTGAATTACTTTCAACCTCCATTTCTTTTTCATTTTTAAAGATTATTCTTACCTTAGAAAAAAAATAGATATAAAAAATAATGAAAATGAGAAAAATAACTAAAACCATACAAAATTAATCAAATAAATAATGTAATCAATAGAAATTAAACAGAAACTGGTAAGAAATAAAATAAATATATACGGAGTGGTGGGTTTTAACATTTTACACACTATACGGAGTCTTAATGTACAACTTATTTTTTAAAAGAACAAGCC